GACCCCGCACCCGCCTGCCAGGCACGTGCCCCAACACGGGGTCGGGGTCAGCAGCCCCCGTGAAGGCCTCAGCTCTGCCTGCTGTTTTCAGGAGGCTCTGGGCCTGTGCCCCCAGGACAGCTGCCCAGGCAAGAGCACGAACTCACCTGCACGTGGTCAGCCCAGTTTTCCTGAGACAGGCTCTTCTGCAAAAGCAAACGGGAAGGGACAGTTGCCAGGCAGCTCCAGAGGCTGAACAGGGGCCTGGTGGGAGTTTTCCTCGACCCCTGGCAGGGTACATCCTTGTAAGAGCCCAGGTGCTCACCCACCGTGGTGCCACAGCCCAGAGCCAGGGCCCCACGGCCTCCCCTTCACCCAGGCCTGGCCCAGCTCGCCCAGCTCTGGGGTGAGAAGCAGCTCCTGCTTGGGACATCAGTGCAAACCCACAGTGCGCAGTGAGTATCCCAGGCCAAAGTCTGTGGCTCAGGCCATGGCTGGCCGCCCCCAGGACCCCTTCCTGCTCACGAACCTCCACAAACCGCTTGTGGCACAGGTGCCGCAGGGCCGCCAGGCGCTGCCACATGGCCGCATTGGGACACAGCGCTGAAAGGAAAGGCCAGCTCAGCACTGCGGGCTCAGGGCAGCCTCACCACGGCCTCCTTCTGGGGCAGGCAGGAGACGGGCAGGGGGGCTGAGCCTGCCTCTTCACCACCCTCCACCTCTGCCCCAGACCTCACCCCCTCCCCACCGCTTGGGCCTCTGCTGGGGTCCACCCCACTCAGCCTGGGGGTCCCGCCAGCCCCGGGCTCTCCCTTGCATGTGTGCAGCGGGCCCTTTCATCTGGGCCTCCCTCTGGGGCGGGAGATTCCTTCCTGGCGCTGGCATCTGCGTGTGTGCCCTGCCCTTCTCTCACTGGCAGGGAGAACCTCGTGGACAGAGCCGGATGCTCACTGTGGGTCCCGTGACTGGAGCTCCATGAGCGGCAGGGGCCTGAGGCCCACGCACGTCCACAGTCTCCGTCAGCCTCCCCTCCATACTCCACCCCAGAGCCTGAGGGGGCCCCGGGGAAGGCACCACGGTCTGGCCGAGCCCCTTCCCCCGAGGGCGTGGCAGCCAGTGGTGCTAACGGGCTGGCCAGTCCTCAGTGGGATGCCGACCGTTCAGCACCCCGCCCAGAACGCAGCCATGGGGAGCCGGGCGACCATCTGTCCTAAGGCCCCTGCCTGGCTCTGGCCCAACCTCACCGAGGGTCCCTGTGACACACACTCTCAAGACACATGGTGCCCTTGCCAGCACTTGCCTCCAACACCTGGGAGCACCCTGTGGTGGGGACCCCATCTGCAGGCTACAGTGGGGGTCTGTGCGGTTCACAGCAAGGCCAGGGACAAGGGCTAACCAGGGAGACCAGCTTCCTGGAACACAGCCACCAGGGCACAAACTTCCAGCAGGGGCCTCGCCCAGGAATCTGCCACCTGCCCTGGGTCCAAGGGGGGATGAGGGCACCCGCCTCCCACCTTCCTCCTTCCCGGAAACGAGGCCTCTGCTACCCTCGTGCACTGGACACCCCAGGGGCCGCCACCTCTTTAAACCACGTGGCACCTCTGGGTAGCACCTACACAAAGGCCAATATACTTCTGAGAAAGGAGAAAGGAGGAAGGAAGGAGGAAGGAGAAAGGGAGAAAGGAAGGAAGAAGGAGAAAGGAGACAGGGAGAAAGGAAGGAGGAAGGGAGGAAGGAGAAAGGAGGAAGAGGGAAGGGAGAAAAGGAGGAAGGTGGAAGGAGAAAGGAGGAAGGAGGAAGGGAGGAAGGAGACAGGAGGAAGGAGGAAGGAGAAAGGGAGGAAGGAGACAGGAGGAAGGAGGAAGGAGACGGGAGGAAGGAGACAGGAGGAAGG